TCTTCTTTTAGGGAACCGTTTCCTATCCGATTATTAATCAATTAATCGGAAAATCGACAGATTAATCGATTTGCAAAGCAATCGTTATTGCAGTCTTAGTTAAAATAAAGATAGATGGAGCCAAATCATTCAGTCTTAAACAAATGTCAGAGAGTTAGGCCTGGGACAGCGGTTTCCCTAGCAACTATCATACAGACTACCTTACACAACCAAATTTCAAGATTAATGTTCACTGACACTATTCATGTCAAACAAACTGTTATTATGAGTACATTAACCATATCTGTTCTTACCTGGACTCTAAAGGTCATTGTCTGCCCGACTTCCTGTGGCTCCTTCCAGTCCCAGGATACCTTGCAAGAACGTGGGTCCAGGTAGTTGCCACGGACATAGTCGTAGATGCTGCGGTCACCCCTTCTCCCAGGATCATCATTCTGGAGGAAGCTAACGATCCTAGCTGCAAGCTCACAGAGGAACTTGATGGTAAAGAAAAACGCTATGATGGAAACAGTAATTCCACCTGCCAAAAGAAAAAAAGAAACACAGGATTATATTTACGATCATCTAGGAGTTTTTTTTAGCATGTGGGGCAGCCAATATTTTACAAACCAATAGCTGATCCTGAACTTACCAATCACGTAAAACATGAGGTCCCTTATCAAAAAGCACAGCGCCACAGTACAGCCAAAAAGGAGAGCACCCGCTGAGAAACACAAGAGCATGCAATAATAAATGACTATTTCCCTTTCATAGCATTCAGCTCATTGTTTTATCAAATATTTTATTGTAATGCTTTTCCATATGACTGACACTGAGCTATGGTATGCTGAAAACCACACCTAAAGATAGGAATGCTGCTGTACCAGATGTATAGTTCGGCTTGAAAAGCAAGAAAGTGACAACACTGAATTGTTCTATTTCGCACGTCTAAATGTAATGTGGATAGGTGTGTGTGTTCGAGAGTGGCCTTGTGTGAGTAGATGGGTGGGTGGGGGGAGTGTTAAGATTTTAATCATGAAAAATAAAAAAATTAAAAAATCGGCAGGAAAATTCAATAGTAAAAGCAAAAAGTTGTCCTTGGCCATGCATACATGTCTAGTTTCACTAAGTCACGCTCAAACAATGAGTGACATTTCTAATTACAGAAATATTCAAATACAAAGCAACCAGACTATAATTACACTCTGGTTGTTGCAGCATAGCAACTACAGCTCAAGGAAACAGAAAATAATCGGCCTCACCAGTTGACCACTTCTCATTCAGGCGCCTCTCAGCAAGGCTGCGCACCAGCCGGATCTCGTAGTCCTGGTCTCGACTCCCCCTGGAGGTCTGCAGAATCTTGATGCCTGTGGACAGCTTTATGTAGTCTTCGTAGTAGTAACCCCAGGCAGATAAAGAGAGCTGCAGCTGACTGTCAAAGCGAGACAGGTCATCCAGATTCATACAACCCAAGGTTTTCAGTCTGAGGAGAGAAATACAAGACAAAAACGAAAGCATTTAGGTAGATAACTAAGGATGTTTGTTTTTACTTTAACCTTCAGAAAACAAGTCAACCATGGCAGCTGTTGCCGTCTTATTACCCACACCACTACTCCCCTACACAAAACTACTTTATGTGTAAATCTCCCCTCAGGCAACCTGAATTCTATTTTTGCAGAACAAGTGTCATAAAAAGCTTTCTAAATCTGTTTTTAAGACAAAGAAGATATAGAATAAAACTACCCTGCAAACAAATGTGTGACTTTTATAGCTAAAGACTAGTTTCCTGCTTTAAGTCCTAAACATGAGGCTGACATTCTGACTGAGTAGCTGCTGTATTTGTGCTTATAAAAAATATTAAAGGAAGAAAAAAAGAAGCATTTGTACTTCCTTCCGCATTCTGTACAATTTCAAAACTACCTTAAATGTTCCTTTTTTTAACAGTGTTGTATAACTAAGAATACACACAATACAACACTGTATTATAAACTTTATTTAGCTGTTTGATTTTACTGCCCTCATGGCATGGGGTAAAACGTGATGCAATATTAACGGCTTATGGTTATTTTATTTAGTATTAAAGTTGTTCTGAGGATTGCAAGAATCAAAAACTATGAAATGAGTTTACAAAAAACACCTATAAAAAACCAGTATGTTCACCCACTGCACAACAGTTTTACAATCAAATCAAAATGAAAAGGTCATAAAGGTATAATTTAATCAAATGAAAAGCTTCTTTTGTAATATGGCTGTCCATTACTAAAGCCAGATAGTGTCTTAAAAAAAAAAAAAAACATGATAACCTTTGCTTATGAACCACAATGACAGTTAAACAGTTTACCAAAAGAGGATGACTTTCAATTAGTAGTAATTTAGACAGCTCTATACAAAGAAACTCTCAAAAGTCCAACTGAATGATTCAGTTTCATTTAAGCACCAAAACTATACATAAGTTATTGAGAAGTACTGCCTTTTAATTGAAAAGTTTACAGTACTCAAAGGAACTAATCCCTAATTTGAGATAATGTTCACAAACTCAAGTCACACTGCTATTAAGGCTGAAGTAAAGACCTTTCTTTGCTTACGTGTGGTGATAGTGCTCTAGATTCTGGGAGCTAAGCCACTCCTGGAAGGCAAAGTCTCGAAGCAGCTTGATGTGAGCTTCTGCAATTTCCCTCCAGCGTTGCTGCTCTCTCCCCACCTCCTCTAGACGACTCAGTGCGCTCAGACTCAATTCTTCCAGTGTCTGCACATCTGTGTGACACACAAAATCCACATAAAAATGTCCCAGATTAAAATATTGTTTTCAGATCTCTGCAGATGATTATGAGTATACATTTTTAAAGTTGGATAATGAGACAGATAAAAAAAAAAAAAAAAAAAAAAAGGGGGGTGCCTTAGATTATACAGATCTAAACAACGTTCAGTTTTATGCTTAGAAATGCTGCAGTTATTCAACATACATACGGGGGGAAAAAAATAAATTTTTGTTGTTTCCAGATAATTATACCCATTCAAACTGGGATCTGCCACTACAAAATGTACTTTAATATATCAGTTTTTTTTTTTTAACAAACTACAGAGTATGCATTCAGCATTCAGACTGTGGTGTTTCATGAGCAGAGGGAGACGTTTCATCTTAAAAGCAGTAATTATATAAAAACTGTAAAAAAAAAAAAAAAAAAAAAATGTAAATATTTTGCATGTAAGATTTAAAAAAAATGTCTATCCAGAACTCAAGTGGAAAAGTTTTAGTTTCACCTGGTTTAATTTAGCAAAAAATCTTTTTCAAGGAATCTTTTGCTATCCGATTATTACTCGAAAAATAAAAAATAAAATAATCGACAGATGAATCAATTTGCAAAACAATCGTTAGTTGCAGCCCTAATAGCTATTAAACAGCTAGTTTAATCTGGGCAGGGTTTCTTTTTCAATGTAAGCATGTAATGAGGAAACTTCAAAAAGCTTCCATTTAGAAGCTGTAAAGTTCACAGTTCTTAAATATGTAATAATTGTTCTCTTTAGGGGCTTGAATACTTCAGCCTTTTACTGCGAAATAAATCTTTAGGTTTTGGTAAAGCACAGACAATAAAAAACAAATCAAAAATATATTAAAAATGTTAAGTAAATAATTTTCATATTAATTGCAAGTAATTGATTGCCAGCAGTGATTGCCACTTGTTTTCTAAATATTGAACAGTACTCATCTATATTAAAAAGAAATGTATCAAATATGTAAGCAGTACATTAAACAATATAAAGCTAAATATCAGGATTTAGGTTTAAAGATTTATTTAAAAATAAGATTGCAGGCAGAATGCATTTTTAAAATAGGTATATTCTCAGTTGGATAAAATATGATCTATAACGAAACCAAAAGAAAAAAATAAATCAAAAGGATTTTGCAGAATGGTTTATGGTAATAGCTACTGGTTTATACAGTTTTCAATGACATAAATTACACCGAAATGTTTACTTTCGAATAGGTAATTTCTAACCTAAAAGAACAAGCTTTGTGAAAATACAATGTTATCTTAAGACTAAGTTATTTAAAATAAACTGTTAGACATTTGGTCACATAGTCAAATTAATTATCAATGACCTTCAAAGTATTACCAAACTATATTCCGATTACCACCAAAGATTGCCCAAAAAATAAATTGCATTTTCAGCACCTTTTCAAGTCTGTAAACACATATACCCAAAAAACGAAACGAAGCAAAAAAAACAATACCTTCAAATAAGTGCCTGTGCTGAGAAAGGCTATGTTCTTGAAGCCATTCCTCAATCTGATTCTCTTTTCTTTTCTTCCACCTTACTTCCCAGAACAAGACCCACGACACTGAGCAAAAAACGAGGGTCAGGAAAAAGCGGCGGTCCATCAGACCATCCTTCAGCCTTTCACTAAGATCCCTCCGTGCTCTCAAGAGAACTGCTGGGCAAGTCCAGACTCCTAACAACGAATGAGGAAAATATATACAAACAGAATATATATTTGTTAAACATACGGGTTGAAGATGAATGGAAAATATAATGATAAAAACGTCCTGATAAATATCTTACATATAAAGTGAAACAACAAAAGAATTAGCTCAACTCAAATCTTTTTGTATTCATATTCGAAACTAGCATAGTCAAACTAAGGTGCTACTAAAGACTAGCTTATTTTATAAGGACACGCTCTACTAATCACAGAATAAACAAAGAATTATGCAATTTAATCTGTAGACCGTGAAAGAAAAAGCTAATAGGGGCGATAAACAATGAACTCAACTGCAGCATCATCAATTCTCTCTATGGGGGGTGGCTGGTACAACAGCATTCAGTAAGAAAACACAACGGTAACTGTTAGCCAAGTTAGCCCAGCGTCCTTTAAAAAAAAATAAAGCTAAGCGTCAGTTAATAAGATGTTATAAACTTGCACATTTAAATATATTCAGAGAAAAATAATTGCAACATTGAAGTGGCGTTGCGTTTCCCTAAACAAATGTGTAAATGGTACAGGTTTAACAAGCACCGCATCTACCTTCGTTTGTCAGTCGTTAGCATAGCAACCGGAACAAACGTAGAAAGTAGTCGCTTTTTCATGACGTGTCATAATCGACGCACGAGGAGTGTGGCAGCTACTTACAGAGAGCTAGTGCTGAAATTCTGAAACATGGTAAATATTCACGACTTTTTTTATTACATAATTCACACATATTAGGAATTTTCACTCTGACATTCAAGTGAACTTAATTTTATGAAGTATTTTTTTTTTCACGCGTTAAGGTAAAATGGAGACCTGTTCTGGAGATAAGCGAACGCTAGTGCTGTTAGCTTAGCATTGATACAAGTCCGCATAATGGTCTTACTTTAAAAAAAAGAAAATCCCAAACAATCGGAATATAATCGAAAATGTAATTTATACTTTTTATATATTCATTAAACATGTACTAAAAGTTTTCACTTAATATAAAACTATTTGGTTACATCGAATTAAAACCCCACATTCCTTTTAGAAGGCAAATGCATTATAAATGGACTGTTGCGCAGTGATTTAAAACTATTTTTAGAAAGCTAACGACAGCTTTCATTAAAATAAGATCCTAAAGTCTTAATTTTTTTTGAACAGATAAAAGGCATATGATCCAAATAGCCTGTAGTCTGGTCAAGGGTGTAACTTTGTGATGAAAATTAGTGGGGACACTCTGAGGGTGTGGGCTGATGGACCTACAGTTACTCAACCCGAACGCTTTGATTAGATTTTTGTAATAATTATACTTATTGAATGCTTTCCTATTGTTAAGAACACTAGAGAACTATAATACACTGATATTTATATTTATAGATAGTTAGAGAGATGTCTTCTAGTGCATTAATTTCAATTCAATTTCAATTCAGTTCAGTTTATTTACATAGCGCCAAATTCACAACACATGTCATCTCAAGGCACTTTACAGTTCAACCAGATCATACAGTCAAATTGATACAAAGTTTTCTATCTCAGGAAAACCAGTTGATTGCATTGACTCATTGACTCAAATACAATCCCTCACACTAAGCCATCTGCCGAGGCCGACTGGGGTTCAAGGAGACAGAAGCAGAGATACAAAAAGCAGCTGTAAAAGGCGGCCCCGTCCAGGAAACACACAGCCAGACAGACGAGCTCCAAGGCAGCTCCCATGCCATTACAAATATAGGGCCCAAAAACATTAATGTATAAAGAAATAATGAATAACGGCCGATTCCAATGCCAAAGTCCATATATCATGCATCCCTAGAAGTACAATTTCGATTCCATCCATCCAGAAAAATATGGATATGCTGCATTTTAAATATAGCATAGAATATTCTTTTCTTGTAAACTTTCTAGTAAACTATATTTATTATTATATATTTTATTGCATGTTGCATAACCCAGTAAATCTTGTTTCCCCTTTAAATCTGGAGCTCTCCCTACTTCTCTCTGTGCTCTGTTTAAAAAGGATTTATGAACCTCTTTAATAATATAATGATGCCAGAAACAAAATTTCAAGATATGTCGAAGCTCTGCAGTCTGATTCGATTTGTACAATAAGAAAACATGTTAATTTTAACCTGTAACTGTGAGTCATGGTTCTCTGGGAAGCTAAGGTTTTTTTTTTTTTTTTACTAAACTATGTTTTCTCAAGCTTTTTGCATTATAATACTAACTTTTATAAACTTACATTTATTGCCCTTTTAGCTGGAACAGCTCTGTATGTCAAACAAACTGATTTTTTTAGTGGCAAGATCTCTAATTATTTAAACCAACCCGTCTCCTAACTTTTACTGAAAAACATCAAAGTAGCTGCCGGTTAATAATCACAGAGTGCTGCTGTGTGTCTCTCCTCCAACCACGTAGCTACTTTGTACGCAGTAAAAAGCGACACATCCGACGATGTCACACGAGAGGCGGGACACGGTAGCAGAGCGAGACGGGAAAAATAAAAACACTGACTCAAAATCCTCTGAACACAGATAGCTAAACCAAACTCTGTTACCTTTGGCTAAAGTACATAAGCAGAAATGGGAAAAAGGCAAAAATTATTTGTGTTCATTTTTTTCCCATTATCTTTAAATTAATAATAATTATTAAACTTTATTGATCTCACATTGGAGAAATTTACCTATGCATTTAACACGTCTCTTTTTGGAGCAGTGGGCTGCCATCATGGGGCCCCCGGGTAGCAATTGGGGGTTAAAGGGCTTCCTCAGAGACCCAGAGTGGCAGTCTGGGAGTGGGGTTTGAACTCAGAACCTCAGGATACCAAGCTCTGTGCCCTAACCACTAGGCTGCCATTCTCTCCATAATTTTTGCATTCAAGTGTTCAATAAACCAGTTAATCCTAAAGCTGGGCTCGTGAGTAAAACAGGTGAAGTGTGAGAACCTCCTCAAAAGTCAAACTAAATAGCATAAATTGTCATTTCCAAACCATATTTGTAGAATACATTTATAAATGGATACAAAGAAACCAGCATTTCCAAGTTGCTGGTAAAACATATCTGTTACTTGTATATTTTACTTTTAGTAGTTTGGAAACCGTTACTATGAAGCATTTAGTATGATTTATTTTGTTATGTTGTTTGACACTGTGTCTATTTCAGGGGAAACAGAAGACGAAAAAGTTTGCTGCAATGAAAAGAATGATTAATCTTCGGGATCAAAGAATGTAAGTGTTCAAATCAGCAATTTATATCTCTTATTGCTTTGATACATTTTCTGTTGAATTCTTTGACTAGCTTGTTTATCTGAATAATTCTGCATTTAAAAACAAAATCAGTTAAACTTGACCTCTTTGCTCTTTTGGTAGAAAAGAAAAAGATCGTGCTAAAACAAAAGAAAAGAAGAAAAAAGATCCTTCAGAGCTTAAGGAGCGGGAAGTGTATGTTAACCGCTCAGCTGAATAAAGTACTTCTTAACTTGTTGGGGCCGAGGAGGGGCATCTTTTTGACTTTTTTTTTTTTTAATTCTCATTGCAGCACAAAGTATCCATCATGTCTGTTCTTCCAGTACAACACTCAGCTTGGCCCACCGTATCACGTTCTCGTTGATACCAATTTCATCAACTTTTCCATTAAGGCAAAGCTGGACATCGTTCAGTCTATGATGGACTGCTTGTATGCCAAATGTATGAAGCAGTAAAACTAAATTTGGACTTAATACATGCTCTATTGGAGAATGTTATTTAAAAATGGCAGAAACAGTTAAATCACTTTCTCCCCTGCTATGTGATCTGCTCAAGGTATACCCTACATCACAGACTGTGTGATGGCTGAGATCGAAAAGCTTGGGATGAAATACAGAGTTGCTCTCAGGTATCGTATTTAACAATCTCTTGGTTTTGCTGAAATTTAACACAAATATAGTTCTACTTTTCCACCTAAACAATGTTTTCCTGTGTTCTTATTTTTGGGCTGTTAGGATAGCCAAGGATCCACGCTTTGAACGGTTGCCATGCACACATAAGGGAACCTATGCTGATGACTGCTTAGTCCAAAGGGTGACCCAGGTAAAATAAATACACAGTAGAACACATCCAGTGAAAAGCTGGGGTTAGTTTTTATTACAGCATTGAGTAATATGAGTAAACCAAAGTTCTAACTAGAATAACATTTGTTAAATGTTAACCTACATTTATCAGGACCTGGTATCAAATTAAAATAATGTCAAACTTTAGCCTAGATAACTGTTGATCTGAATGCAAGTAAGCTAAATTGACACATTTATGTAAAACAAGTCAAAATGTTGATCATTTACCGGTAAGTAAGATTCATCATCCCCCCCAACAATTTCTGATCAGCAACCATCAAGAACATTATTTAATCAGGACTTTAAAACCGTACTTGTACGGTGTGCACGTCTGCATTCCTGCATATGAAAGAAATATGCTGGTACACTGATGCTGTGTCCCAAATGATGATAGAAATTCTCCTTTGACAAGGCTCAATCAACAGCATTCCTGCATAGGAATGTGTTAATAAATGGGAAAAGGAAGCACATAAAAGAAAGAAAATGTGCACAACCTCAGTAAAAACATTAAAGAGTTTAACATGGATGTTGCAAATAGTATGAATAATTTCTTGTGCCGTAGATGGTTTTTCTGTCCAGTGGAACGTCACACCTTCTGCCTGATTGGAGCAGCTTGAATAAATGATGTAGGGACAAAGATGAATCCTCTGAGATCAGGGTGGCCTTCCTGCTCACAGAGCTTTTGAACAATTCAGAAAGATGTGTTTGCTGTAATCTGTAATTTTGGTACCAGATCTGCTCTGGGCCCTCCCCCTGCTGATGACACCACCTCAGACATACTGTATTCATGTTTCTTAAGAATCAATTGTCTTCTGGAAGTTCAACTTATTATAACCTGGTTTGCTTTTATTTTATGTTTCTTTGGCAACCTAAGGTAGCAAATATGTAAAACAATTATTCTCAGTCTTGACGGCAAGTACTCCATTCTAAGACAGACTGAGCTCTGCCATTTAACAAGGAGACACAAAAACTCTCAGTACGTCTTATTCGTTTTTATTAAGATGTGATGGCAGAGGAAGGCGAATTAGACATTTTAAAATGACTTGCATGGGGATTTTAGACAAGGAAAAAAAATTTTATTCTACTTGCAGAAAATAAATCGTTGACGTTGATATGAAGTTAAAAGAAGTATAGCTTAAAGGAATAGTACACCCAAAACATGATTAGCCTTCATTTTCTACTCACCCCCATGCTGAACAACACTCTGGAGTACTTTTTTGATATCTCAAATGCATCTGGAGATCTGGGAGGCTTCTTGCTGTCTGCTGACATTCAAATAATGGAGGTCTATGGCGCCCGAGGCAGAAAGGTCCATAAAAGTCCACAAAAAACGTGTCAATATTCCTCCATACTGCTCGTCCAATGTATTCCAAGTGTCCTGAGTGGGTAGCATCCAGAATTTACTCGAAACGAAGTCATTTAGAATGTTTTTAGAGCATAAACAGTAGTGTATAGGATTTCCTGAAAGCGCGTTCACGACGCTACGGAAACCGCGGCAGACCAAACCAGATGAAAGTGCGCATTCAGCTCGGCAAAGAACTCATGCTCTTCCTCAACACTGAAGTCCTCAGACATTTTTCTTTCGTTGTTTCTTTCTTTGCACAGGTAAACAGCACATTTCTTCTTCTACGCTTGCATTATTGGCAGAGCAGACGCTGAATGCGCACTTTCATCTGGTTTGGTCTGCCGGCTTCCGTAGCGTCATGAACGCGCAGGCGCGCGCTTTCAGGAAATCCTATACACTACTGTTTATGCTCTAAAAACATTCTAAATGACTTCGTTTCGAGTAAATTCTGGACGCTACCCACTCAGGACACTTGGAATACATTGGACGAGCAGTATGGAGGAATATTGACACGTTTTTTGTGGACTTTTATGGACCTTTCTGTCTCGGGCACCATAGACCTCCATTATTTGAATGTCAGCAGACAGCAAGAAGCCTCCCAGATCTCCAGATGCATTTGAGATATCAAAAAAGTACTCCAGAGTGTTGTTCAGCATGGGGGTGAGTAGAAAATGAAGGCTAATCATGTTTTGGGTGTACTATTCCTTTAATAGAGCTTCCCCTTTATACATTGACTTGCAATTACTTAGTTCACCAAAAACATTTTATTTCAGTTTTGTTATCAATCAGGTAAAACAATTGTTTATTAGACACGCTAACACTACACCTGCACCTGAGTCGGCACACGGATGCTGCATTATGGTTTTGACGTTGTCTGGGTAACCACGATATTTGACGTCATCATAGCAATGTTCAGCCCATCATATAGTGTAACGTCACTGGGCCTGAGCAGATCTGACTACCGGTAGCTGATCTAGTAGCTACACTGGTTAATAATATGGGACTTTTTGGTTTATAATAGTGAGGAAGTTTCACCAGGACAATGGTACGGATGAGGTTGGAATCTATTATTAATAAAGTTAAATTCACTTTAGTATCTCTGATCAAAACTGCAAGCGCTGTGCTAATAAAATGATTCCTTGGGAGGGTATTTCATAACCTGACTCCGCCAGATGGATTTGCTCCGCATATCCATCTGAAACCTTCCGTTGAAGTAATTTTGGGAAGGGGCGAAAATACTGGTTAGCTGATTGGCCTATGTTGGTGATAGATGCGCTTCTCGTTGCGTCACATCTCAACCCGCTTCAAAGCCAACGCTGATTGGACGTTCGTTTGGTAAACGGCTCCAAATTTTCTTTAACGGAATGTAGCCAGACTGATCTGCGAGTGAAACCTTGAAAGCTCGCAAGATCAGGATGGTCTCACGAGGCTAGGTATTTCAAGCTTTCTGTAGAGATTTGCCTATCTGTTGTCTTCCAAGAAAAAATAAAGTTTAAAATGTTTGCAAAACAGCTATTAGCGAAATTAAGTAATATATGTTTTACTATTCCTGACCAATTGCTGCATGATGTAGTAATATTTTAAATAAAATTCTGTTAAATTTCACAAAGACGTTGATTGATATTGATTGGTTCATATTTTATTTTCAGACATACAGGTATACAATAAATGATTTTATATATCTTTGTAACAAAAACAAAATTAGTCTGAAAAGGGTGTATTGACAGAGAGAATAAGCTTATAATACCCACCCTCCAAAACCAAGTCACATTGGACTAGAAAAGAAAAAATACTTAAGTCGTTTTTGGTGATATTATGATAAATCAGTTAACTGCATCATACTGTGGTGATGTTTGTGTTTTATAATGTAGCCTGTGACTTGTGGAAATAGACTGACAACATAAACTTTGTGTGCAGCACAAGTGTTACATCCTGGCCACTGTGGACAGAGATCTTAAGAGACGAGTCAGGAAGATACCCGGGGTTCCCATCATGTACATCTCAAATCACAGGTAATTTTGCAATGTTGTCTCAGAATCTGAAAACTTTGGAGATTTTAGCATTAAAACTAAATTAACAACCTTGCTTTTGCTAATATATTTCCTTTCATTTGCAGGTATAATATTGAAAGGATGCCTGACGACTACGGTGCTCCAAGGTTTTAATATTTCTGTCATGTGTACATAGACTGAAGATTCCTATTGACTGTAGTTTCTCTTTATGCTTAATAAAATTCAGAGGTCTTGATGCTTAAACGAGTGGATGTATTATTATTTTAGCTTATCAGGTTCACTATGTTCTGTGATCATCTTTTTTTTTTTTTCCCAATTCGATTTAGGATTAAATCATGCACTGAACTGTTGTAAAATGTATTTTAACTGGAGCAAAAACATTGATACTAAATAAGTGGCAAAAATTAATTCTAAAAAAACCTTCAAATATTCCTGACTTCTCAAATAAAACTGTCAAGTTTATTTAATTAGATTAAAGAGTGAAGTTCATTGATTTATTACACATACACTGAGGTATTCTAATAGGTTATTTATGTGAATTTTGATTTTCGTGTTCATTATTGTTGCTAAAGTACCCAAATTTAATTTAGCAGAAAGTTAAAATACACAACTGTGTATTTTACTGCCAGAGATGTAACATTTAAATAGGGCACATTGTCCAACACAGAAGAGCGACATCCAAGACTCATAACTACATCTACACCTTGTGGACAAAGGACATTGTTTTGAGGACCAGAATGTTCACATCTATGTTAAGAAAGAAAAACCAACCTCAAACAGAGGGGTTTGTTTATCAAGGGTCAAAACTTAAATCTTCTATTCATCTTTTCATAATAGCTCCAAGATAGGAAACTTGTGAATTAACAGGGATATAAGGATATGTTTTATTGCAGGTCAAGATGGGAAACTACAAATTTTTTTAAGATTAGTGGTCTGAAGCGTCTGATCAGAACCTCTCAGAAAAAAATGTAGTGTCATGGGCAATTTGACTGAGAATGTATTTATTTATTTGAGCAACAGAGTTTGTTTTTACCTAAAAAGAATAGGCAGAAACAAAAGCTTATTTTCCCTACCATATTAAAAGATAGGTAACATGCGTTTCACAAAGCACTAAAGTCTTTTCCTTATTAGCAATTGAAAAACCTGCTATATTGCTTTCAAAGAATATAGCTTATGTAACAAGAAGTTGGGTTGAGAACAGGAATAAATGTGAAATCTAGATGCTTCTGATGAGGTACTGAAATCATTTGATGGAGAAGTCCCCCGGAGCAGAGACGCATCTTAAAAATCCACGTAAGTAGGTGCTGTGTACAAAGGTTTGGAGCAACTTCTTTTTAATGGAAATCTGTGACAGTTCTATATTTTAGTTTAATATTGCAGAACCTTCCTTGCACAATGTTTGAATATATTCAACTAAAAAAACTGCCCTAAACCTCCACGACTGAATGAAACCACACACACACACACACATATATATATATATATATATATATATATATATATATATATAATAGCTATGATCACATCAGTTCTGAGTAGTCTTCTGATTAGACTAGTCAGACTAGTCTTATGATGTGTCTAAGTCTGGTTGAAATTCCTCAGTAAATGAAGAGAGGGTAGAGGGTCCTTTCAATTATTGTTGGCTTTGCAAGTATGTTAGAGTCATGATTAAGTAAACAGATGGACCTCCAATTATCAATGATTAATTTGCTTTACCAGCCTTATAATGCCTTGAGGTAGAGTGGGCTATAGGGGGTTAATCCTCCTTGGTTAATTATTATAGAAAAGGTATTAACACCGTATAATTAATTTATATGGTGGCCCAGAGGTGTCAACACTAATCCAAAAGCTGCAACGTAAATACAAATCCTGCAAAATAAATCAAAAAGCTGCAACATAAATACAAAAGCTGCAACGCAATAGGCCCAGAGGTGTCAACACTAATACAAAAGCTGCAACATAAATACAAAAGCTGCAACGCAATAGGCCCAGAGGTGTCAACACTAATGCAAAAGCTGCAACGTAAATACAAATCTTGCAAAATAAATCAAAAAGCTGCAACATAAATACAAAAGCTGCAACGCAATAGGCCCAGAGGTGTCAACACTAATACAAAAGCTGCAACACAAATACAAATGCTGCAACACTAATACAAAAGCTGCAACACAAATACAAAAGCTGCAACTCAATAGGCCCAGAGGTGTCAACACTAATACAAAAGCTGCAACACAAATACAAATGCTGCAACACAAATACAAAAGCTGCAACACAAATACAAATGTTGCAACATAAATACAAAAGCCGCAACGCAAATACAAAACCTGCAACACAAATACAAAAGCTGCAACACTAATACAAAAACCGTAACACAAATACAAAAGCCGCAACACAAATACAAAGGCCACATCACAAATATAAAAGACGCAACAGAAATACAAAAGGCGCAATTTTTTGTAATGTGATTTACAAAAGAGATTATTGTTCTTTTTTTAAATAAATTTTATGTTAATTTTTATTTTTTTGTTGTGTCTAACTAAAGGGTTTTTGTCCTTAAAACTTTGTCTAAATTTCATATGTGAATATTTGTTGTTTTTTATTATATATATATATATATATATATATATATATATATATGTATGTATACATGTATATATATATACACATTAACTGATTAAAGAACAAATGTTCATATTTATCTTACATATTTCCAATAACTCATTCGAAAACCGATTACTAACAAAAGATCTATTATTTTTAACTTCATTTACACTCTACTACTTCATTTGTCTAGAAAGGGCTTTTTACGAGGAGCACCTGAATGCAGCTCCTGTCATCACTGAGATCATTCTCTAAAACACGCGCATGCGCAGTAGTCCGAGGTCGGGGAGTGTCTGGGCAGCTCGTTTGACTCAGAAACCTGTGCAGAGAAGAGGAGCATCTGCAGGAACAATGAACCGGCTGGATTGGAAGGAAATTATTTTAAAAGATGAGCCTGATCTAAATGAATGAAGGAAGCCTAAAATGGGATCTCAGAGGGACATTTTTCGTTTCGTATTTGAGGCTTGAATGACCTCCAGCGGTGCAGGGAATTAGGATTTTCTAATACTTTATCTCCTGCAAAGTCAACACCCCGACAGCTTCTGCCTCGGCGTTGCTATGGGGACAATGTGAATACTTCCTTTTTTTTTTATGAGCATATATAATAATTGGACCATATATATTTTTTTCTGACTAATAAGCCGCCTTTATTTTGTTTATTAATAAGCAGTTCATTAGAAAGACATTACTGTTTAAATAGGTATCAAATAGGCTACTTGCTGCAAGAAATATTATTTTTTCTACTTTTAATTTCTGCTTTTAGCTTGAATAACCTAATACATTTTAACTCTGCTTTAATAACAGATTCACTAACAGCTTTTTCTTTTTCAGACATTGATTCCACAATCTCCTGGAGGTCATGAGATGACCATCTGCTGCTGGAACCTGCTTTAAACTGCAAGCTGATTAACCACTTAAAGAACCAAAGGCAGGACTGTTTCTGCTTCTGGACTGTGTGGCTGACCACTGAAAAAGGGATGCTGAGAGTCACAGTGGGCTCAGCAGAGGAGAGGGATGAGGAGGATGAAGGGGAGGAAGAGTTGAGGGATGGAGGGGTGCCCTTCTATGTAAACAGAGGAGGCCTTCCAATGGATGAGGAGACTTGGGAGAGGATGTGGCGTCATGTGGCCAGAATGCACCCAGGTGGTGAAGCTCTGGCCAAGGACATAAGGGGTGTCATGGACCTGCCCAAGGTAAATTTAACTTACAGGACATTTAAATTGTTTTTATTCAATTCAGTTTATTTATATAGCGCCTATTCACAACACATGTCACCTCAAGTCACTTTAAAATTCAACCAGATGATACAGTTAAACTGATTCAGTTTTCCTTATAAAGAAAACCAGTTGATCGACTCATTGACAATCCCTCACACTAAGCATGCTTGTAGCGACAGTTAAGAGGAAAACTCCTTTTTAACAGGAAGAAACCTCCAGCAGAACCAGACTCGATGTGAGTGGCCATCTGCCGAGGCTGACTGGGGTTCAAGGAGACAGAAGCAGAGATACAGAGAGAAGCAGAGATAAAAAAAAAAAAAAATGCAACTGTCAACCAGCTCCCCGTCCAGGAAAAAAAAATAGCCAAGCAAACCAGCTCCCATGTCAGAGGATGAAGAGAGCACATCCAGCCAGTCACAGTCAGAGAAACAGGACTACACTGAAAAACAGGCCGAGCTCTATTAATCCAAGATGTACAGTAAAACGGGTTAATTATGATATTTATTTTTATGCATTTAGCAGATGCTTTTATCCAAAGCGACTTAGAAAGTAGACACAATTTTACAGTTATCATCAATATGGTAATACGTTCTCTAGAGGAAAATCCCTAGTCTAAATCGGTGGGGACAGCAAAGAAAGAGAGAGAGAGAGGGAATGGCAGAAAGAGTAGTAGAGGGGTACAGAGGTATGGGTAAGAGTTAGGAAAAAAATGCTCTTTGAAGAGGTTGGTCTTTAAGAGTTTCCTAAAGATAGAAAGGCATTTTGCTGTTCTTGTAGCACTTGGTAGGTCATTCCATCATCATAGAAGTTGTGACATAAGCCAAATTTCTGAAATAGGAGTAGATGGAAAATCCAAATACTCCTTTTTTGTATATGAAAAAGAAAAGGAGCTCATAGTTTAAAGCTACAGTGTGTAACTTTTAGCGACATCTAGCGGTCAGACTGCAGACTGCAGCAACATGAACATCTCCCCCCACCGCTTCTCCCCCCCAACAGTACGGCGAGCGTTACGGGACAAAATGTCTTCCACGACGTCCGCATCACCTACCTTCTCAAGTGATGAGGTTTGTTTACATAGATAATTTTACAGATAGTATTTCATTAGTCTGTGTAGGGTATAGATTTCATGTAGGCTTAAGATAATAAATATACCCGTTATTTTTTCTACATCGTTGTGACGTTTTGGCGATCTCGCAATGGCTAGTTTGTTGGCTCTGCGCTGCCGTAGCGCAAAGATGTCTGCCTCCATGGCTGCGAGACCCGCTCCTATGTAATTATAAATAACGAATTCTAAGGCAACGCAAATATTAAGGTTAAGAGGCTGAGCTCGTAGATGATGATAAATAACATAGTTATGTATAATATATTACATTTCTGACTGTATATCCCTGTAATTATTACACACTGTAGCTTTAAATAGAAAAATTGTAA